AAATATTGGAAACGTAGAGGAATAGAATAGCTGTAATACAGTCCCAGAGTTAGGCACTTTAAAAATATCTTAGTGGTTCTAGCTGAAGAAAAGTACCATTTATCCAGGTCAGAAGCATCTTGTTTTTGAGATAAACATCCCATTACAGCTGGAACCTCAAAGACAGACATACAAATTACTATCTCAGCTCTATTTCTTCCTGTTTTCTTGAGAAAGCAGTTACCTCCTAAATTAAGCACTGATGATCATTCTGTGAGAATGCAGTATGCTAGACGTCAAAAATAAAGAGATCAAAGGTGTAATCCCAAATGTTCCTAGATCTCTTTCGTTTGCCTTTCAGGATGTTGTATCTTTGAATGCATATGAATGTGTTTAAGCACAACATTTCTTGAATTAACCAGTCCTACATATTAATTCTTATTCAAGCTTCAGGCGTGTTCTCCATATCAAATTATCTGGAAGTTAGTAAACTAGTTAGTGTATTTGTTCATTCTCTAGATTCAAGTCAATAAAGATCTGTTAAGATATTGCCTTTTGCAGTTCAATAATTATTAGAATGAATTAGCAGATGCCCTTACTTATTCTGAATGCAGTTATCTGGCTTTAAGAAAAGCCTTTTTTCCAAATCTATTTCCATCAGATCTTCTACCAATCTATATGTTAATATTTAAAGTTCCTCACTGGCACAAAGTCATGCAACTTGTCACACCCATGAATCTCCTTAAACATCTCTAGCTCAAATTGAGCATTACGAAAACAGATATTTGTTGTTTTTAAAAAAGGATTCTATTCTTCTTTGGGGGAGCTTCTCTAGTCCATCTTATGTAAAGCCTTCTGAATTCTTTATACCTCACCATCTCAGCTACTCATTGAAAGTAATGTTACTTATCTCTGTTTTTGCACATGGAATGAGAAAATTTCAGGGAAATGCCTGGGTTTACCTCTGAGTTACCTGAAACGCATATACACCCATGTTTATAATTCTGTATCTTCTTTGGTCCTTGGAAATGCTCGGGCATCTCTGCCACAAACATTCTGTCTACAAACTAATGAGGGCCAAATCCTCAAACCTTAACAGAAAATCTCAATCCGGCTCCCCATACTCACAGATTTGTTGTTCAGAACCCAATTGGTCATAATCTCGAGAAGCCAGGTCCACCTCCTGTTCCCTTCTAGCAGACACCTTAGGTTCTTAAAGTTAAAGAAGGTCATACATTCACTCAAATAGCCATCCACAGATATTCGATGCTTGGCTTCCAAGGACTATTCAGTTGGTCTCTGTACTTGCTACCAACATAAAGGTCCCCTCCACCCTGGCTTTTTGTAAGTCTGTCTGCTAGCTATAAAAGTTATAAACCATATAGACGAGGACCACATCTTCCTATGCCCATGTGGCTTCTTACTCTTACTAGAGCATGAATATCCCGGCGGAGAGATGGGAGGCTTTGGAATTGATAAGCGATTACCCTAATATCTGCCCCAGTATTTATCACAGCTCATGTTTTATAGGTAGGGAGACATGGTGGGATGGAGTGGTCGTTAAGTTGTACGCAAGTAAATATACTATGAATCCCTGGAAGTTGGAAGATAAAATAGTTATAAATACTACATTTTGGACCTAGATTGTCCACTTTGGTAGGAACTGAGATGGGGAGAATTTGAAGGACAGGACAGTGTTTTGTCAGGAAAGACCGACCTCTATCATACATTTGAAAGTACAATGATATGCCTAAGAATTAAACTAAATTAAGCATTTGGGTAGGACTCCAGAGGATTAAACATGAGTAATGCCATCTTAAATCTAGAAACAGAAAGTTAAATTAAGAATTGAGGCAGAGTTCCAAAGGAATCTTTGAGGTTGAAAATATGTATTTAGGAAAAGAATTGGCTTAAATGATTTATAAGAAAATAAAGCAAGGAAACACCCGAAGTACTTACCTTCTTTGTGCCAGGCACCTTACATACTCTCATTCAATTGTCAAAATAAGCCCAGAGGTAAATAAACCTAGTTCACCGTGTCCCCAGAGAAGCTCAACTCAGAAACGTAAGTAACCAGCCAAGGGCACATAGCTCACACTCTTTCAACCACCTTGCAGCATTTCTGCAAGGAACCAGTCTGCTCAAATACTCATGGAAGGTTAATTTAATGTTGTTATCTTTATAATGTGAGTTAGGATTCAGTATTAACTTTGAATTTCAGCACTGGATGGTTAGTCAGCCATGCGTGAGTCAACAACACTATTTGACCATCTAACGTGTAAATGACGGGGATATTGAGAATTCTGAAGGGAAATAATATCTTATTCTTGAGATAAATACCATCTGAGAGAGAAGACAGAATGTGCCCTGATCGAGGGGAAAATATATACTCTTACAGAAATATGGATACACCCAGAATCATTTTGTAAGCAATAAAATGAAAAAGAATTGATTGGTGGTGGGTGTTAGAATGACCTGAGTTAAGGCAGGCTAGATACATGTGTGACCAGAAGTTACTTTTTATGGAATTTAAACAGAATGTTCCAGACATAATGAAACGAGCGTCAATAATTCTCATACCAACCCTGTAAAGTCAGTACTAGCATTATTCCAATTTTTCCTGGTGATGAAACTGAGGCAGAAAGAAGTCAAGCACGTGGCCCAGCTTTCCAGAACTGGTAAGTGGCAGGGCTGGGATGTGAACTGAGGCAGGACCAGAGTCGCTGCCCTTACATCACCCTCACACCGTCAACATCAGCGTGCCGAGTGAGTGCACAGGCTGTGTTTATCTCGGGCCATAGACTGTGCTTCCCTCCCCTTGACACAAAGCTGATATGTGAAGACACTTCCCTGTGTTCTTAGAGGAGTAAGTTCCTTAAGTTATTCAAAGGTAAATACCTACAATGTACCATACACGGCTCACGCTGGGGTCAGCAGTCAACAGGACAGCCAAGGGCCCTGCTTCGTTACACACACAGTAATAGGCGCTCATTACACCCTAACAATGCATGACCATGCATTTTAATTTCGAAAATAATGTACATATTCATTAGTTTGAATAAATTACCTACAGTAGACTCTCCTTAATCCAGAGTTACCCTTAAAAACTACCCTTTAAAATTAACACCATTTTTTCCAAAAATTCTATTAAGTAGGAAGGTTTGGGGCATTCCTATTTAGAATCAGAGTTGCAGTTTAAATACCCTTACAGTCTTAGAAAGATTTTCTGAATGTAGCACGGCACCATGTATCTTTGTAGTAGTTACATTTTCATAATTTAAGCCTTTCTTGTCCGTTTAGGAACAGTTTACTCCCACTGCCCAAAACTGCTTATTATGTAGGTTGTTCAGCGTTGTTTATCTGGTAAGCACTAAGTAATTCGTTATTAAATGATGTCTGTAACAACGTGGAGAGTAAAATATTCTACATTAAAGAAATTCACACTGCCATTATTATCTCATCCCTAAACTACCAGTCATTTGCCTAACTTAAACAGCCTTCTAGCCTAAAAATGTTTTTTTTCCCTGATGATGAAGACCTGCCTCTAAAAATCATAAAGCTACAACTCATTAAAATAAACAAATCTACAAATCTGCTAAGGTGAGAAGGGCAGGGCTCTAGGAAGCATTTTCACCTCCTCGCCTTGTGCACACGCTTCCTTACCTGCCCTCTGGGGTGGAGGGTGTGGGCAACGTCCGGCTCCACTAAGCAACCCCAGCCCTCACCCCCTCAGTCGCTGCCTAAGCTTGCAGGCAGGGGCCCAAACGGCATCACGAAGCCGGCTCCCTACGCACATGCTACTTACATACCCACGCACACGCGTGCATGCCCAACACATGGGTGTGTTGTGTATGCGTGCGGGGTGAGCCCTCTTTGTCTCCCTCTCCTGTCACTTAACCCCCGGGGAATCCCCGCGGTACCTGGGAAATCAGGGAATGGCGAGATGAGGCAAACGGACCTTCTCCCTTCCCTGGTGGCTGCCACCGCGCGGTCCCCGGAACCTGCAGTGCCTCCTCTCACAAGCAGCTAACAGAGGGAAACTGAGAAGATGAGCGAGAGAATACGTGAACGAGGAAGGGGCCGTTATACAGGAGAGCTTTGATTTCCGTTTTTCACATGCAAAGCCCTAGGCAGCTGGAAGGGAGGCAAAGAAACTCCGAGTGCAAAATCCTCTAAAACGATTTTTCTAATCGCGCCTGGAAACCAGCGCTGGGCGCGTGTCCTGCGCGGGGTTAAGGAATTCAGGGCTGCAGCCGGCCGGGCGGCCCGGCACCTCGCGCTCCGTGGGGCTGCGCTCGGCAGACGCGCGCACGCAGCCTCCCCAGGCGCTGTGCGGGTTTCCTAAACC